GTTTATAGACTCGTAGTAAATATTTTTTGAATTTGAAATATTTCACGGTTAACTATAAGAATAAAAGTCTTTCTATATTATTTTGTTTTAATTTTCTGCCCTTTTTCCATTATCCCTGGCCGTGGTTCTCTCTGGTTCAATTGCAAAGATGAAATGAAACAAAAACCATAAGAAAAAATAAATTTGGTGTGCAAGAGTTGTTTTTAAAAATGATTGAGACCCAAGGAATTAGACTAAGTTGTTTTTCTTTTTGGTTTTGCAAACAATTTAGGCAACCAATTTTAGTGGTTCAGACGTCCCTTTCCCATGCATTCAGCTTGGGCTCAAGTCTCGTTGATGTTTCTAGTCTGAGCCACCCATTTCTTTTGTTATGTCTGGATCTTGAATTTATAAAACAAATGTAAGGAAATTAATTTTACTCATATGTCTATTACGAAAATACTAGTGTGCTTCCCCTCCATCCCCATCTGCAGATGGTTCTCTGCCTTTATAGTCTTAGTTTCAGAAATACTATCCCATCTTCTCTTTTCAATAATTAAATATTTATCTCACAACTTTTCACTTTCACCAAATAACTATTATTACTAGCACGTTCATACTGCAGAACAATGCCGTGGTAATTTTTCTTCTCCTCTGAGTTTTACTGATTGTTTTTTGATTATTTTTCCCTCTACCCATCTAATGTCTTTTATTTGGTTTCTTGAATACCTGATACTATAACAATAGGACCAAGACCAAAGAGGAGCAGCAAATGGCATAGCTATGACTGCAATGTCACTTTTTAAAGTTGTTGGTCCAGCTGCTGGAGGAGCAGTGTGAGTGCTCACTTAATTATGTTAGCCATTTTTATGTTTTTTTATACCTTGGACACATGTTTACTAGTTGAACACATGTAAGCCTTCTAGGGTCTTGGCATAATTTTAAATAAAATAAAAAAAGAAAGCAAAAAGAAGTATGAATTTGTACATTTTAATCCTGCCATTGGGATTTTAATATTTTAAAGCCTAAACCTGTGGAACTTTTGGCTCCCACCTTATCTATGAATACTTGGAACTTCTAAACCTAATGAACTTTGTATCTCCATTTCTTTTCCAATTTATAAAAGCATATAAGGAATTATTTGATATAAATTTATTTGTTATGGAAAAGTGAAATTTGTGTAATACCTGTCCTGATTCTTTTGGAAACTATTTCATTAGCATGTCCGTATGGTGTCATATCAATGATTCTTAGTTGATTATAAAGTACTTGTGTGATATGAATTGATATATATATTGGATTTGTTAATTAGTCTCAATGATCTATGCAGCTTTTCTTGGGCACAATGGCGTCAGGTTGCTGCCTTCCTTCCAGGTAACAACTCTCCACTAAGTCCATTTATTGAATTTCGGTTGGCTACACTGCGTCGGACATTCTTTATCTGAGATCACACACATCCCTATAGTTGCCTATTTTGACTCTATTGGTTTAAGAAACATAATGAATATATTAAGTTGTTTCTTAACATTCATTCCCATATGAGGTTGCTTTTGATCATCATGGCCAATTGTTCTTTCGATTTCTGTGTCTTTTGTCCAAAGAATCATGTTTTGATGGTTGGTTCCTTTAGAGTGGTTCCATCATAGTTGGAATTGTGATTGGTTGTATAGGGGTAGCGTTCGAGTTGTGATTGGTTATCAATTGTTGGGTTTGGGTTGTGAGTGGATGCTGGTAGCATTCTTTGAAGGAAGGGCAGTTTATATTCTAAAGTAATGAGTATAGCGTTGGTCAAGGTGGTCCTTCGTGTTCGGGTTGTTGTGATTGAGGTTGACCATGTCGGTGTCAAGGAAGTGAGCAGGCTTGCTAGATAGCCATGGCGGGGAATGGTGATGGAGAGGTTCCAAAATTTGTGGTTTATGTAGAGAACTCCGTGGTTGGGGTCAGTGGCTAGAGTGGCACATCAGTGTGTGAATTGCTGAGTGTAGAGTTTATTGAGTTGATTAGTCAGCCTGTCGGTAACGGGTTTTGGGTTGGCATTGGTCACCTTGAGTTTAGTCTCGTTGGTTGTAAATTTTGTATGTTGATTAGGGAAAACTGAAACTAATCGAACATGTTTTGTTGTAGAATTTGACAGTTGGAATAATACATCTAATATATGTATTGATTGATCATTGTGAATGATTGGCTTTCATACATTATGTATGTTTGATGTTGGGTTTGATATTGATACAGCACTAAGATGTGTATCATTTGTGTGTTAAAGGGGGGGTATTGTGGGGAAGAGATGTGACCTCATTTGGTTGTTGGCCAGGTCCTGAGCCGTATTTATACCTTATGTGTTGATAGTACTGTTGTTATTTCTATTAACTATCATTATAGAAATGTTGTGTCCCATGTTGGTTGTGGCATCACCATGTGAGTGATGGTTGTTGATAGTGTCACTTTGGAAAGAAATGGAAAATAAACTTTTCCTAGTGTTTGGGACCGTCTAGATGCATTGTTGAAAATTTGATTTAATTCTAGGATTTTAAAGAATTCCCGATTAATCTTTTGGGCAAATAAACTGTGGATGACTCTGCGTTTTGGGTAACACCCTATTTGTGGAAAATGTTTGCAAAGCTTTTGAGTTTTCGTATGGAACATACAAGATTTATTCCGGAACGTTAACGTTGAAAATTTAAACATCTTTGGGAAATGCCTCTTGAACAAGAAAATGTTTTCTTATTATCTACTCTAAAGATTTACTTTGGTCGTGTTGTTGAGTAGTGACTTAGCTTGGAGTGCTAGTCGGTTGTTGGTGAATTGTTTCGGGGGAGGTTGGGTTTGTTGAGGCTTGCGTACCTAAGGTGTGGCCGTTTTGAATGTGTTTCCTTGGTTAGTATCTTCCTTGCTAAGCGTAAGTCGGAGGTTTGTTGTGAAAGTAATTTCTTTCCTTGGGAACTCGGTTGTTGAATGCTCTGTGATTAATTGGCCTTGTGTTTTGGCGTATCCTTAATTTCGGGGACGAAATTCTTTAAGGGGGGGAGGTTATAGCGATCCCGGTATTCCCTGCTATTGTTTAACCGTAATCCGGACTCGGTTCCGTGGATTCGTTGTTGTTTTATTCTCATTTCTATCCCTTACTCTTTGTGTTAGAGTTTTGGGTTGTGTTGGGCAAGTTGGGAATAAGTTGGTCATGTTTTAAAACGTAAAATCTTTGCCCAGTTTTTGGTCCCTTCGCTCGAGCAGCGCTTTTGGCGCTCGAGCGGGACTCTGTTGTTGCTTGTCCGCTCGAGCGGGGGTGTTGGCGCTCGAGCGGGGAAATCACCCATCCAGTAT